CTACGCTGCCAAGTCCAAGTGAGGGGTTGTGATAAGGGAACCGAGATCTCTGAAACAAGCAAGTGGACAGTAGAACAGAAGCACGACTTAAGAGAGGACTCATAGGACAACTGGAAATGGAAATAATTGGTGGTTTGCACATAATGCACAGTAACGTTCAAAGCAGCAGACGAATCATTAAAGACAAATACATTACGGCAACACAGAGTGCAGGAATCTGATCCTCTGGTAGGATTTTTGGGGGAGAGGTGGTAAGAGGAAACAGGAATGGAAAGTACGAGAGAGCTTTTATCAATGAGCTGCCGGCTGCTAGACATGACCTGTGGCATTCATTAAAGCAAATTATATAACCTTTCATCACAAGAAGTTAATTTTCTTCAAATATTCCAATTGCTAGGCTACATCCCTATCTCTTCACGTTAAGAAGTAAAAATTAATTATGCATGATTTGTTATGTGCAATTTGCTTATGCCATATAAAAGAAATGGATCAAATGGATACCTTAGGTAAAAAGCTTCTTGGCACTAGTATTTTTGAAATAAAGGTATAATTACGGCTTAGATTAAAATTTGACTTTTCTGAAAACCATAGAAGAATATTATGCAAGAAAGCAAATAACATGTAACAAAAACAACCCACATATCCCCACAGGAAGATTTAAGTCTCCAGAAATGGAATAAACAATACTCTGGGGATACTCAGGAATGCTTATAGTGGTTTGTTTTTAACATGATACAATACAACATTGTATAGGGATAATATTCTTGCAGAGTCAAAGCACATGAAACTAAAATGGGCTGCGTCATGGAGAGGCAGAATTAAGTATCCAACAAGCACGTTTAAAAACCCTCGGTTACCTGGGTTACACTGTACCTTCCTGATGCAAAATACCCCATTTCCTGGACCCTCACCCCAGTGGTACCAGAAAATTTTTGTTACCAGAGTAACACAACTGTGTGCTGGCCTTCGTGAGCATCTGATCAAAGGGACTATCCAACTTCCACCCCCTGTGTGCAGGCTTCCAGTTTAAATATTTTCTACCCCTTGAACTGGCCAGCCAGGAAGGCAGCAGCAGAAGGGCTTATAAACCATGTATGTGCTGCCACTGACCTGGCACATGTTCCGTTTTCTGGGAGAAGTTCAAGAGGAATTTGAGGTGAACATGCCATGGCTACATTAGTAGAAAAATTCACTATATGCTTTCAAAAAACAAACATACAAAAAACCCCAACCCTCAAAAGACCCATTTACAACTACACTGCAGCAAGAACACAGCTTGAGTAATGTCTCAGAGAACTGTCCTTGCTGTAAGCCTACCAATCAAGACATACTGTTTCATCATAGAATAGAAATTCATGAAGCCATTAAATATTAATTTTCTTCAAAATGCTGTCGTTGCATTAAGTGCCTTCAGTGGTTCATCATTTTCTCCCCATAGCCAAAGTGCCTTTGCAAGATGGTGATAAATGGAACAAAGGCGAGAAAACTGGGGGTTTTTGACTTCTGTTTTCTTATGCGCTCTGCCCTCAGGATGTAGGAAAATTTCAGGTGTGCCCTGCTAAATGCAAACACTTTCCTTACAGCTGTCATCTAGTTCAGAAGAGAAACACACCTCTTCATCACCAACAAATATTTGAGGCAAGCTCTGAAGATTTTGTTTTCCTTTTTCTTTGTATTTTGCTGACTCGTAGAATGTAATAGAAAGATGCTGGGAAAATAAATACTCTTTGTGAAGGAAGTATTTTTTTGCTTGGCAGTCATATCCAAAATAAGATGTTTCACTGTAGCCAGAACAGATTACAAAGCCCACCATGAGTTTGATGGGTGTTTCATTCCTGCAAAACCCACAATGCACCGATTGTTCGATTACCCATGCCAGAGGCACCCTGCAATGAAAATCTCCTTCATGTTCTGCCTTAAGGTCCAGCACAGCTCCTGCCCATAGGAACGTGGCTGGTTGTTGGGCAGTTACAGAAATGCTTCAGGATCCCATCACACTGGTGGCCTCAAGAGCCCACTCAGGGATCTGGGGAAGCCTCTTGCACCTGCACAGGAAGTCTTGGCCGTGTATTGGTTCCACCTTGCTTTTATTTTCAGGAGAGCAGAGAATATGTAAACTCTAGATATGGCAAATACATAAAATAGGGATACTGAATATTCTTAGATGGAATACTGATGTCCCATTTATTTTCTTACCCATGTAGTATTTTGCTTTACATGAACACTTCATGAAGTTCAATCTCAAAAGTGACAGAATAGATAATAAGGGAAAAATGAAATTCTAACACTATCAGTATTATCCAGAAAAACTTTGTTGCTGTTTTGCAAGTGTTTCCTCAGGCACTCTTAGTGAGATGCCCTCCTGTTTCCTAATTATCATTTACAACTGGGAAAGCCATCATAAATTTAACACATGCCACAACTGCCTCACCTAGCCTGGCTTAATATTGAGAATAAGCTAGTCTTCCCTAGGCTAGATACACAGATGTATTTAGATTTCCTCCCCGCATTCTGCTCTTGGGATTCTAGGTATACATTTCTCTTCATCTTTCCAAGTCCATACTGCTTTTTGCTGCTGTTTTTGGTTTCTTTCCAATTTATTAATACCCTTGTCAGAGCACGGTGTCCAGAACTTAACAGTAATCCAGCTGCGGCCTCAGGACCGCAGAACACGTGTTCCAGCAATGTAACTTCTGTGCACAGTTTCTTTTAATTGCCGCTCTCATGGTAGGAGATTTACATTCAGTTTATAAACAACTCAAATCATGTAACTAAACTCTAAAGGAATATTGGTACTTGGCTCTTACGTTTGCCTTTGAGACATGCTTAGAACCACAGGAGAGAGAAGCAGAAAACTCAGTGGCAACCACTGTTCACCTCTAGTGTTTTCTTGCAGTTTCCCTTAATTTTAATTTTTTTTCTCCCTCCTTTTTTTTTTTTTCTTTTCTTCTCTCTCTCCATTGAGAGCCCAGTGCATTTAACATTTTACTTCTGGCTTCCATTCTTTTGTAGAGTGCTGCAAAAAGTACTTTGTAAGCATATGCTCATTCAAACACGTTTTTCTTTTCACTTTATCCTTCCCCTGAAAGAAAACTCTCCAGGTTTTAAATAAATAGCTATCTGGAAAAAGGAGTAACAGTGCTTTCTTCTAGCTTGTTATGGAATATACTGAGCTTAGAATTGTTCCTTACAGAATTTTACTTACCCCTTAATATTTTCGTAAAAAAACACCATTAGCAATGATTTTCCCTTTTTGCCCATTAAACGTATGCAGTGGTTAATTGTTGTAGTGCCTGCTGCAAGGAGCTGCTCAACGCCGTGGCAGCAGGAAAGCTTAAAAAGCTGAAGTCGTTAAGAAACATTCGCAACAGATAGCTGACATATTTTTGCTTGTTGTCAGCTAGTGCTCTCACAAGACCATAGACAGCATGAGTGAACGTAGGAGGAAACAATACATCTGCAGACACTGGCAGACAGCATTGCTTGCCAAATTTGGCCACAGTTCCTTTAGATAATTTCTCAGTGACGTGCTGTGTTGAAATTATATAAACAGCAAAAATTACTAAGACCTGGGCCCCAGGGTGTTTTGAGTTTCAAGATTTTCTGCAATCAGTATTCTGACATGTGCAAATATTTTTCTCTAACAGCTGATGCCAGGAACAGAGCAACATTACCATCACTTTCTATGTATTCAAGATTTTGAATACATTGAAATAACGTCTCTTCAGCCCCAGCCCCGGTCAGGACCTTTGCACTATCATAACCACCAGCGCACATGAGAAGGCTTATACAAAAGTTATCAAAGCAGCAGTCTTTTCTCAGAATGGCTTGTAACCTCTTACAGCAACATCTCTGTTAGCATTTCAAGAAATGTACATGAAAAAACACTGTATTAAGGTTCAGTCTCCAGAATTATCAAGGGTTTTAGAGTAACTTCTGCTGAACATAATGTAACTTAATTTGCACATTGTATGTACGGGGTTAGAGGTTATTTAGGTTGTTTTTCCTACTTAGGATCAGACAATAGCTTCCTTGATAATTAAGATCCTTCCACTATGACCCTCATATACACTAGAGCTATCTGAAAAGTGTTTTCTATCACTGAGGAATTTATGCAGGAAACAAACGTGCATAGTTCTTCCTGAACAGAAACAACCCACAGGAAAACCTTACCTGACTAGTTTTGATAGAAGGATCTCTAGACAATCTTCTGAAGTTATAAAAACAAATCCTTTATTTAAGAGGCATTCTTTAAATCAAACCCAATGCATGTCGCACGAGACATTCTGAAGGCAGTAGTCACTGAATATTGACAGTTACCCGTGGCACTGAGGAAACATGGGCTATGCAAAATGGGTAACTGCATTTATCACTATTGCCAAAGTAGGAAAGACCAGACAGGAATAAAAATGTACTTTTAAAACAGTTACGCTTTTCTTTTGATGATCTAACGTCCAGCACCTGGCCCCTCCTCTAGCAACACTCCCAGAGCAATACCCTTCTCTGAAAATAGTCTGAACAAAATTACCACACTTTGTTCCATTTTCAGTCCCCCACGTACAAATCGTGCACAAAGTAGAGATATGCAGGTACAGAAAAAGGTCTCTCAAGCACTTTCTTCTTTCAGTCATACCTTAAGGCAAATTTGTAAATTTTAAGGGAATGTCTCGAGAATTAAGCATAGAGCTGTGAAACTCTTTCTTTGTAGTTTGTGATCACAGTTAACTTTCTCGGAGAACAGGTATGCATAGCAGTAACCCCTCAGAAATGTCTTAGGATAAGACCATGTTAATGATGTTTATATAATTTTTATATCTGCAAGCATTTCTTGAGGTAAACTTACATTTGCAGTCCAACTGTACAAGACAATTTCAGTAGTTCTGTGCACAGTGTGATGGTATTTCAATGAGCGTAAATGTTGAGGACAACAAGGTAAAACTACCTCAGTACCTCATTTCCATATAAAACGTATGAAGGCAATAAAACAATATGGTATCTTCTTAGAGTCTCATGTCTTTAAAAAAAGGATGCAGCAAAGCCTCTTTGGCAGTTATTCTTGTTGCAGGGTTTAAGTCTAGTAGCTTATCAAGTAGGTCGTATGCTTCATCAGGAACCTGATCCCATCCTTTCATGTCTGTTGCCTTCATTTCCAAAGCACCATCACCTCCCTGAAAGCTCTCTAAGTGCTGAGTTTGTTTTCCGAGTGTCTCGGGAGCACACGGTTTGTCTACTGCAACTGGTAAAGCCGAGTCATTTACAGACCTGCTGGGCACTTCACCCTGGGATCTCTTGCAGCTGCTGTTTGTTCCTCTCAGTTTCTCACAGAGGGTTCTTAAGTTTTGTGCTGGGACAACTTGGGTACACAGAACTGATTTACCTAGAAAAAAATTTTACAGTGAGTGACATTTTATTATACTTCCTATGCAACTGTAACTTCTAAGTTTGTTTCAGAGAAACTTCATGTCTTGAAGTGTAACCAGCATTACAAAAAACCCCCCAACCACCAACCTACCAAGAAACCAAACCCAACCCTCCTACTCCTCCAAAGCAGCCATGTTTCACGGCAATAGCCCCAACAAGTCAGAAGAATAATCACCTCAGTCCTGCTCAGAACAAAGCTGTTGGGGTTTGTTTGTGAAGTTACATAGTGACAGGTTGTCATCCACCCCACACACCATCTTTTTGCATTTCACTGTCATTTCAACAGAACTGAAGAAACTTAAGATACCCTGATTTTTACACCTCTGTCTGGAGAATAAAAATCGCTGTCAGTTACACTTCCAGGTAGCAGGTGCTGCAGCATTTGGCTTGCAAACAGGAGAATGGTTATTTTAGGGTTGTGTTGTGTGTTGATGGTGGGTTTGGTTGTTTAAACAGGCTGTCCCTTGGTTGTTTTTTGTTTTGAGGGTTTTTTTTAACTAGCCTTTCTGAAGGGGGTTGAGGGGAAGCAAGGTTTACATCAGCTAAATATTAAGTCATATTGACTTAAGCCTCCAGTTCAAATTTTGCAGGAATAGAAACACTGCCTCAGGAATTCTAACCCAATGACAGTAGAAAACATTTAGTTGGCATATTTCACCTCAAGTGGCCCTGACTTGGTGAAAGGCAGTAGACAGGTTGGGAAACCTATGACATGAAGTACCCCATATACAAATTATAAGAGATAGAAAAATACAAAACTTTCTTAAAACACTGTATATATAGACTAGTGCTTTCAGTATTTTGCATGCAAAAAGTGTGATTTACCTCCAAAATGACTCCCAAACCTAAAACTATATTTTTATATGTATTAAAAAAAAAAAAAAAAAATCACAGCTTGTACGTCACTGCATTAAATAGTAGGCCAAGCATACATTTTCCCCTTTTCCCCATAATGAAGGTTTGCATACCAAAAGTTTTAGCAGCCTGAATGGTTTCCCTGGATCCACGAACTGTCATGATTTGTGCCAAAGCAGTTAAATCATCACTTGCTTTGTAAAATGGATACCGTCCACTGAGCAGAGAAAGGAATACAATTCCTGCAGACCACATGTCAATTGCTGCAATTGAAAGCAAATTTAGTAATAACTAAACTCACAATTTCATCACAAACAAAATCACAACTTTGTTTAAAAAGAAATGATGACCTGAAAAGTTTCTATCAGAAAAAGTTATGTTCCAAATTGCTTACTGACTTCAGTCATAGATAACACTTCAGCAAACAGTGGAAATTACTATAATTAAATAGAAAAATAATTTCCTGCTTGGATGCAGGGGCAGTGTTTAAGCTTTTCCTTAGAATTTTTCATATCAGTAATTCCATTAACTTGCTAAACTTAAAATGTACCAAAACAGTGCTTGAGGTTGTTTTACTTGGGGGAAATGAGAGGCAGCGAAAAATTGGCCTTTTTGATACTTATTTAAGCTTATTGCATATGAAACAAACCTTATATAAAGATCATAAATAAAAAATAATTCACAAATGAATGCGAATCTGAATTTTTCTGGGACTGAGACTGCCACAGTTAGGCAGTAATGAAAAAATGTATCTTACCATGACCTTTGTTCCTCTCGAATATGAAATCACTTGACAAGATAGCCAGTTCAAGAACTGTAACAGTTAGAAGTTATTCATCACTTTCATTGTGTTACGAAGAGTACAGAGAGTACTCTGCGGATAGATGCCAAAGCATGATGGAAACTTTAATACTGGAAGTAATGAGAATACCTGTCTGCCATAATTTTTTGGCTCACTAAGGTGCACATTTTGAGATGGCAACAAAAGTGAAGGAGAGAGCTTGAAGGATTCTAAAGACAAAAATTAACAGTTGGGAAAATAAAGCCATAGTTACTCTACTTCTCTTCAAAAAAATAAGTAGTAAAATAGGCAGTAAATAATGTGGGCATTTTAGTTAGAAACACTGTTAGCACAGGGCTTTGGATGAAAAAAAGAGTATTAAGTTTACTTCAGTTGCAAAATCAGATGATTTTGAGTCTCTTATTAAAAAAATAAAAATCCAAGTTAATCATGTGGCACAATTTACAGTGGAAAAATTTTGTATCTTCTTCCTGTAAAAAAGTTTTACTATTACTGTATCACTGCTGAAAAGATCATACTGTCTGTTTCAGGTGGTGTGCATTACCCCGAGTATGTGGTTGGGAAAAGCTGGAGTCATCAAGGTCAAGACCTTTAAAGATGCTTAATTACTTATCTCTTGCTGAAATTAATAGACATTATATATCTGAATAGATAGTAAATCCTGGCCCTACAACTCTGGTAGAGCTGGGATCACCAGCAGACTGCAAGATCCCGTGCAATGACATCAAAATCATGATTTCCTTTCTATGCTTTTGGGAGCAGGGGGACAAACCAAGTTAAAGTGTAACTGGACCTGTATAACATCAGCTTGGGAGTTTAGTTTGTATTCCCTGCGCTGTGAACCTGGGTCGGATGCAGTAAGGCAGCTCTGGAGTCAGCTGGATCCAGCTGGTGACTTGGTCTCAGCACAGAGGCCAGAACTAGTAGTAAGACTGGCAGGAATACAAGGAGGTGACTACAGCAGTCCCAGATGGAAGTGGATGAGAAGATTTGTTAGTTCAAACACAACATAATCTCATAAATATTAGTATTAGTCTACCCAGATCTAATTAAGGCCTTTGTTGACATACTACAGGAGCTCGGCACCACTGACTCAGTACTTTTAGGGCTGTCTGTGCCACACCCAGCGGTTTCCAGATTTACCCATATTTTCTGTAATCCTGCTCTCCATTACCCTAGAGAACAGAAAACTGTCTGAAAGCATATTTAACACTAGCATGTGTCCAAGATTTCCTAGGTATGTCTTCCTTCTGCCTAAATTCTGTCTAGACAGATTCAGAGATTGTCTAAACTTGTCCTGGATTTCTGGATGTCTTCTAGCCCATAAAGCTGGCTGTTACCACGCAGGCACAGTAACTCCAAACATGCTGCCATTCCTCTTGAAATCCCAGTCATACCCGCAGCACAGATGTTGTTTCAAATAACATTAACCTGTCTAAGAATAAGCTGATCAAATTATTAAGTCTATTCTGAGTATGTATACACACTTTACTGAAAATTGACAATTTTCTCAAAAGATATTCAGCAAAAAAAGTGGCTAAAACCTGTAATTTTAAATCAAATTTTTGATGACATTTGTATTTATCCCCCTTTTTCATAAGCCAGAACTCCTGGTCATACACCAAATGTTTAAACAGGCAACTTTCTTTTATTGGTCCTCCATTCTCCAGGTAGGCACAACCTCTCCCATCCTACTTGCATCAGCTGATGTATGAACCATCCCTCTGCTCTGCTCTGATATTGACCCAGACTAGTGAAACTTATCAACCTGATAGTTTTTAACCCTGAGAAATTAAAAATTGAGTTAAGAAAAAAATTATAGCCTTTACAGACCAGCTATGCAAAGCACTAGCAAAAAGGAAAAAATCTGGTAAAAGTATTAACCAACACCTTCTAAAACACCTTTGCAATTACACCATTAACTATGCCTGCTGTGAGAGCAAACTATATGTGACAATCTGTCTAGAAAAGTCTAAAGTATGTCCCCTCCCCAAGACTTATTCAAAATTTTACTTGAATAAATAAGCCAATAAGCCATTAAATTTGATAAAAATTACAGCTTTGTTTGCTTTTATAACCCATTTTATTCAGCTCCTGCATACGGCATTACCCCTCAAAAGAATTAAGATGTATTCAAGTTTCAAACACAGGAATAATATTCCTAACTTATTCTTACTCTGAATAATACACTTTTAATTACAAAAATCAGGAAATGCTTGATAAGTGTTGGAAGGGATGGTAAGATGAATTTCACATGTAAACAAAACCCCTCCCATAAAACAAGACAACATAATAAGCATAAATGAGACAGGTCAAAAGGTGAAGAAAGGCACTGGAGTCAGTCTGTTGGGCAGTACCTGTGGTCTGAGTGGGGCACTTTGTTAGTACTTCGGGTGCTCGGAATCCAGGTGTTCCTGCCCTGGGAGCAACTTGCTGACACCTTGTAGTAAGAGACAAACATGTTTAGAATGTAAAAGTTGATAAATAAGTTTTAATTATAATAATGCTAAATATTATTTTTAGAATATACTTGTGTAAGATGTGTAAACAGCCTAACCCTACCTTATTCAAGTTGTGTAGAAGTTTGAAGCATCTTACAATTATCTAGCATGAAACTATTATGTTGCATAAGATAATAGCCTTATTATATTATCTATGATATTATTGTATTTATATCATATTATTTAGCATAAGGCAATACCACAGAAATGCTTATTCCATACTTCACTCACAATGACCTTTTTTTAGTTTCATTCAACAGCAGCATCATTTTTGCTAGAGGGTTGTCTTCACAGGAAACTTTAACGCTGAGACTAACTAACCAAAGGCAAAAAATGCACTAGATTGTTGACTGTGGATGCTCTGGCTCTGTATTAGCCCACACCAAACTAAGGTTCATTATTTCTGAGTGTTGACAAGAATTTACTTTCTGTTAGATTAACTAAAAGGTGTAAGTTTATCATTGTTAAAACAAAAAACCCAAAACTTTCCAGAGCTTTCTTGTATGGCTTAAAGTGCCTTCCTTCTACGGGACACTTCTCTTTTGAGCGTGGCAAATTCCTCATGTTTCATGCATCAGAAATGAAGTTGGTATCATCGTATTTTAACAGTCTGGGAAGAAAGGGATGCCACAGTTTCATGGCTATGTCTAGTAAGCAGAATTCTCTGCATGAATCTGTGTTTCTTAATGTGTGGATGAAAGGCCATAGCAGATCATAACCAAAACTAACTGCAGAGGGATGGAGTTGAACAGAGTTAGGAAGATTCACAAACCTGTATATTATTAAAGCTTAAACATTATTTTTTAAATGAACAAATACAAACCAGCTATGTTTCCTTTTTATTCTGCATTTCATGATTTCCAGAATCCAAACTGTTGGCATGATTTAGGCCTATTAGACAACTAGTAATGACAGATTCATGTACGACAATACATCTAAGTCTTAGAGCTCTAAGTGTTGTAATTCACTCAAGCAATTTTCTACAACACACATAGGTAACTAAATACAACAACAAGAAAACATTAACAGTGAATCTCTCTTGCTGCAGACAGCAGTTGAACCAATTATTCCATGAACTGTTCTTGTTTAAAAAGAGCACAGTCAGTGTTTTAAGGGTTGCACAGATCAAATGATATCTTTCACCTACTAAATCAGCTGTCTAGTAAATCTAAGTTTCTGACCTTCCTTGACAGGATAGCAGACAATTTTACAACATTATCAAAGCAAATTACCTTGAAAGGCAAACACTGCAAACTCTATCTGTTGCGTAACAGTCACAGATCAGGTTTGAGGGACAACCACTGGCAGCCTTCCTGGCTGCCCCATTGCTCACTGTTTTGGTAGAAATAATCTTCTTCTTTGTTACTAACTTCCTAGATGAAACATCTATGATCTTCGATTGTTTTATGAGCTGCAATGTAAATATTTTAGAGAAGGTGACATATTTAAGAAGCTTCCCTTTACACATAGAAAGGCCAGTTCCTAAAACACTAAGACTGAATGGGAACTCATCAGCAAGAAGCTGCAATTTTTAGAACAGAAGACAGCAAACGTTTCTAACGATATCACAACATCTATAAAACAGACACTGGAGCTTTCTAAATATTGTGATTTCCTCCCCTTCAGAAAACATTTTTCAGTGTTTACTAAAAACCAATATACGTTGGATATTCTGAAGCTGCAAGACAAGTATTTTTCAAGTTAGTATAACATTTCAAGAATTCTTTTGGTTCAACATGAGAATAAAAACCACGTGTATGAAATGCCACAGCAACACACAGGCACTAGCTCTAACTCTACAAGATCATGATTGTTGGCCAAACTCTCTAATTTAGTTGGGGTTTCCCTTCTTGTTATATTAAATACTAATTACAAGTACAGAAAAACATTTCTTCCAAGTTTTCTCTCTGGCTTCTGCCAGATAACTGCAAAATAAAAAAAAAAGTTTCACAAGCTAAGCGTATCTTAGTTGCACAGACACGTATAGGGAAAAAAATTAATCTAGCGTACAAACAAGATCAGCTAGGGAGACAAGCTACATAACTGGCTCTCTAAGAGTTTCAAAAGGGACTGAAACAGAAATGAAAAATACCTAGAGCCTTTCAGCCAAGACATGCTTAATAATCTGCTCGAAAACTTTCAGTTCCACATCATCCTGGAGCAGTGTCCAGTCTTACAGAACAACCAGTTCTATAATTTTTCAAACGTGTAACAGATTGCTCTTGCTGATGAGTCATACTTCTTACTTTTGTACTGGAGTTCTCCTGGTATGTGGAACTATAGACATTGAAATTCCTCTCTCCAAAGACAGAGCGCTGGACAGAATGCTGCACGGAATCCTCCTGCAACACCAACGAAAGGGACAATCAGGATCCTGTCTAGCACACAGTCAGCTGGATACTGACAGTTCGAAAAAAGAGGTGTGAAGTGACATAAAACAAGAACAGCTGCATGGCAACTCATTTCCAGGCACCAGTTTGCTGTGGATGAAGAAAACATGGTCTAGACAGAACAGCAAACACGCTTACAAAACGCATCACGCCTCAGAAGCGCCCCAAGACAATCCCAATGTCATGGGGACTGCATTAATCAGGCAGCCGAGCGACTAGACGTGGATGCATACCTCCAGGGCAGGAGGAGCTGCACAGCACCCGTCCCTTCCGAAGGCTGAAGGCTGCCGGTCAGCAGCCCGGCGCCCCGACGCAGGTCACGGGGAGAAAAAAAAACCCCGGGCCAGCTGCCCCCGAGGCTGGCTGGGGAGCTGGCTGGCTGGGCGCCGTGGCGCGGACAGAAACCCCGCTTCCCACCACTGCAGCAGGGCCGTTCTGCAAGCAGCTTCCCTGATGGTCTTCAGAGTGGGCAGTTCTGAGAAGTTCAATTTTTGTATCAGGGGTTCCTTGCGCCAAGCCAAAATCTACCAAGGCATACCTGAAAGACACAAATTTAAAATCAGGAATCACAAAGTAACCATCAATCAGTTCAATTTACTATTCATTACGTGTTTACTTATCTTTCTTTCACATTTTACTCAGTCTGTTGCTTATCTGTACTGTTGCCAGCATCACACTACTATTTTCCTCCTCCTCTTGTCCCGTCTTACCTATCCCCTCAATATTTTTACCCTACACCCATCTTACTTCGTTGTTTCTTTTCCCAAAATCTTCTCAAGTGGATACTTTCCCCAACAGTGTTGAAAAAATATTCTCAGCATCTCCTTTCTGGGGCTCTTCTAGTCCTACAGCTCCGAACCTTCAGCCAAGAGCGAAGGACGAGTGACTTGACCCTTGCAGGATTCCCGTGGGCAGAGGCACACATGCAGCAGTGAAGACAGACAAGACTAAAATGCTGAGAGCTTTGCCAGACTTCAAGCAACTACTGGAATTTACTTCAGTCTTCAAAACAGGTAGGACTACATCAGTTCACACTTCAGATCTGTCTTTAAAAGAATTATATTTTGCTACAACCGGTACAGAGACAATCCAGCTGTCTCTGGGTCTCAGACAAACTCGACTCTGTGGCCTCCACATCCAAAGTAGAGATTAAGGCTCACGCAAATGCTGGAAGAGCAAAGCGACAGTACTCCTTTTGACAGATTAAAAAAGAAAATTTAAAAAAATCAGTATTTCTCAAATTTTTAAGCTATCACTTGTTACCTTGGAGAAGAGACTGACACCCACCTCACCACAACCCCCTTTCAGATAGTTGTACAGAGCAACAAAGTCTCCCCTCAGCCTCCTCTTCTCCAGACTCCACAACCCCAGCTCCCTCAGCCGCTCCTCACAAGGCTTCTGCTCTAACCCATCACCACCCTCATTGCCCTTCTTTGGACATGCTCCAGCACCTCAGTGTCTCAACTGTACCTAGCACAATAGCATATCAACAACAAAACTACAGGACTGCTAGCACCAGACAGTACCTTATTCTATCCGTTTCAGACCTTCACAAAAAAACAGTACCTTGCTTTTTACAGTCTTTAAATATTGTAACTTGCAGGCAAAAAAACAAACCCTAATAGTTGTAAACATTAATTCAATGTAAGGTGAAACCAGCCCAAATCCAGCTATCTTATCTGTATCAGTTTTACTCTATCCATGAGTAAAAAGTTTACAAATATCAGCCTATGCACCACAGATCACTATTAGCTTTCCTATAAAAACAAAAACACAACTGATTTTATTCTTCTCATTCTTACTCAAAAATGTAATACTTTCACTCAATGGTAAAATCTTCATTTTTTTTCAGGTACGTCACTCTATGAGGCAGATATTACATTAAGTGTGGAAAAAAAAAATTCCTTCCCTCCACAAATCCCCAACCACAGAAAGAAGTTTTACAAATAAAAAAAAATAATCTTTTTTAGCTTTATTACTTAAGCACATGTTATACAGCTGGAAGGAAAAAAAGCCCCACCAAAGCCCACATCCCCACAGGAGATCACAATATGGGCACCGGGACAGACTTACTCCTTTAGCCGCCTGTTGTAGAGGAAGTTACTGGGCTTGACGTCACGGTGAACAATACCGAAGTGATGAATGCGCCTCAACGCTTTGAACAGATTAAACATGTATTCCCTCACTTCTTCAAAGGCAAGTGAATTCAAAATGTCCTGAAAGATTATTTGGATACGGTAATTATGCAATTGCTTTTAATTAAAAAGTTTTACTACACATAAAAAGGCTGGCACTCACCAAGAAGGATTCATGTTCCAGATATGGCATAACAATAACCACATGATCATTTTTCCTAAAGCAATATTTAACTCCCATAACGTTATCTTGTCCCCTAGAAGAAAAGTAATGTCACTGAATAAAAACCAGAAGATGGATGTTTATTCTCCTTTATTTCTTAAAAAGCTCAGTCGGGCTTTGTTTCGTAATCTAATTTATATTTTGGCAGCAGTCAGTAGTTACGCTGTTGCCTCTCACTGCTATGTTCCATTTGAGTTCTGCAATTTGCAATGAGGGCTCCACGGATTATTTGTGGGGCCATCATTTGTATTTACCGCTCTAATTATGTGTAGGACCTAACCTTCATGAAACCAACTACTTTAAGAAGGTGCTATTCAGCATGCTCTGGCAACAGGTATTCACTCCTAAAGCCACATTTTCTGATGAAGAGATTATTTTTTCCAAGCATTTCAGAACTGGAATTTTCGTTATCCATCACGGAACTTCTCAAGATGGAAAATACAGCACCATCCGCAAACTGAGACTAGCAGAAAAGGGCATCCATTACAGGTAAGACATTCCGTTTCTTATTTGCTCTTGATAAAACGAATATACACTCCTGCGGTTAAAAAAAAGGCAAGCCAAGTGCCCAAATTTAAAAAATAAATGCAGAACAGTGAGATGACGTTCAGCAGTTTAGTCATGACAATCATCCTTTTTTTATTTATGTACCCTGCTACTGTGAGGCACTGAAGTTCAGCGGCAATTCGCAGAGGGTGGCTGGTTGGAATCAGGTGTTTCAGAGCCATTTTTTCCTCGTATCCTGTTTGTAGTTGTGCTGTGGCCAAGTAAACAGAACTAAAAGTGCCTATAAAGACGGGAGAAAAACACTCTTCAGCATTTTTAATTAGGTCAATTCAGATTTTTACAGAAGTGATCTAACTGTTCACAGTCCTGTAGTATACTTGATACTACATCAAACGCAGACTCTGGAAGAGAAAAATGCAGTTCCTTTATTCTGCTCCTGAATTCAGTGATCTTGTATACAAGTTTTTTTATGTCAGTAAAAATGCAAATACAACACTGTCTAACTTGCCTGGGACACAGAGCTCTTTGAATGTAAATTTCCTATCTTTGATTTGCTTTCTTGTTTAGGTAGCTTACTTTCATCTGACATCTAACTCTTCTCTCCCTACGATGTAAGTGGGCTATATAATGTTAATCTGGAAAGCACTGCCTTTACAATTCAAAGCACTTCAGAAACTGCTACATTTTTCTCAATTCTGTTACCTTATCTATAAAGTAAGACTTCTCACATGATGTGTAACTTTACTATTTGTTTGCCCAGAGCATTACCACATAGACAGAATATGATAAGACTCATTTGAGAAAGGGAGTATTCAGACTGTACGATAAACTTACCCACCCATTTAATTTTAAGGACATCCTAATATACCTCTTAGGAGGTTAATTTATCATGATGATCTGAGTTATCTCAACATACAAGCTGAAGCATTCTTCCATATGAACAGACAGTACAACTTACTTTTGATTACATTTTAAGTATTGTGTTTGTATCATGCTAGCTGAACAGTCTGTAAGTGCATACATATATCAAAATGCCAACAAAATCTCCAAATACTTCTTGCAGTCATTAAAAAAAAAAAAAAAATCTAGAGTCCCATACATTCAGTAGAAATCGTTATAGCAACAAGGGATACCAAGTTGAGCTAAGACATTATTTTTGGTGGCGAGAACTGCTCAAACGAAGGTGACTCCAGAACAGAATCCTGAATTCAAGCTTGTTCTCTGATAATGCTGCAGAATTACACAATATTGTTTAAAAGTATTGTTTGCTTCCCAGAGCAAAATCGTACTATTCATAACCAGAGATTTTAATTACACTGTCTCTTTAATGATAGGCTGAACTCTCGTTAGTTTGTTTTGAAATTTTGTATTGCCGTGGTGAATGGAAGATGGGTTTTTTGGAGGCGGATGCTTGAGACAAAAACTTTTAGCCTTCTAGCCTGCCATGACAGGTATTCTATCACAAAACAGCTGTAAAACAATACCACTTCTTACCAACATCTTTGTTTAAAAGCATGGAGTGTCACAAAGCATTTCAGAGACCAAACAGGTAAAGCCCCAAAAAGTGCTGAGACCCCACACTCAGAAGTACCTAAAAATCTGTTTATAGTCATGCCTAACATTTACTGAAGGTATCTGCAGTAGCATTTGTTGAAGGGAAGGTGTACACAAATGTTCTAAAATTTGATACTGTATGTCTTAAGAAAAAAAAGTTTGTTGTTTTTTTTTTTTTAAATAAAGCAGCTATAATCTTTCAGTCTCCTCCTCCACTTCTGGCCACAGGGTTTCAGTGGAAACACAGCCAACTTAAGGAGGAGCAGTTAAATATGTGAAAACACAGAAATAGAGTTCTCATGTAAAAGAAAAAAAAGCACGGACTGTTAAAACTTACTTACTCAAATCTACCTCAAAAATTTTTAGTTGTCAGAACTGGAATGCTGGTTTTTTGAAAGGCTTTCATGTACCAGATTTTAAAGAAAATACCTTGAAAATGTCCCTAATTAACGCACCTATATGCTCAGCAACATATTAGAATTCCTACAGAGACCAAGAAGTAAATCAAAAAGGCATTTGGCTTAAATTGCATATCTTGAGACCTTAGATTTATACCCTTTAAGTTAAAAATACCAAAAGACATTTAAGTCTAAGCAAGCTAAAATAAACATTTACCTTCTCCAATTTTTTCCTTAATTTTGAACACATTTACAAGCTGTGGCACTGCCTCATAGAGTTTCTCAATATCTTTTTTTATTCCTG